ATATAATAAAGTATATGATATATTGTATATAATAAATATTTGGCCTTAACTCTTAAAATGTAAAATTCGTCCGGACGAATACATTTGAAATCTTGCCAGAAATCATTAAAAAACCCCAAGTATTCTGTAAGAACTATTAAATGTATACGCTTACAGATATTACTCCTCGCTTCCTTTATTGGTTTTTACGGAGAAGACAGCAAAAACTTAAGCCGTAGGAGATCATAGTTCTGTCATGCGAGGCAATTTACCTGCTTCCCTAATAAAAATACACGTTGCATTTAATAAACAGGTGCTATATCAGGATTTCAAACATTACAATTTGTCTTATTGACCCACAGAAAATTAACATCCGGATTTCTTTTATCTGTTTGTTAAATCATGTACGTTTAGTGCCAGTTTCGAGATTAAAATGTTAGAAATGATTTAAACCATAAAAAGATCAAATGATATAGCGTTATAACATGTCTGTGCTGTTATAGCTAGATATTGTAATCAGAAATCAGCCAAGCGGTATGCAGTCAACTTCAGCCTTAATACATGCAACTGGAGTTAAATCTGGTCAGTTGATATTAGGTCCTGTACCTAGAATATTGAGTATCAACAAGATTATTCTACTGTTTAAACTCGAATTCTACAAAATCCCAGAATTTGGTCCTTTGATATGCAGATGCAGTCAACTTCAGCCTTAATACATGCAACTGGAGTTAAATCTGGTCAGTTGATATTAGGTCCTGTACCTAGAATATTGAGTATCAACAAGATTATTCTACTGTTTAAACTCGAATTCTACAAAATCCCAGAATTTGGTCCTTTGATATGCAGAATTATGTAGATGTTGTGAAAATGGCAATATCAAATTTCGTTATACACAATTCAGGGATGGGTGCTTTTAATAAAGAATACATTACAGTAAGATTAGGAAAACAAATTGTTCGAGTCCTACCCATTCTCATTGAAATATCATTTCCTTGTCGGTATCTGTTTGGTATTTGGATATACTTAAATGGTAATGGTGAAATTTAAGTATGTCCGCTATCACGACCTTTCGGTCTGTTAGCAGACGAGAAGGAAATTACCATTTTTTAAAGAGAATCCATATTTCCTTGTTGTTGTGATATTTATGAACCTAAAACGAAGAAGGGGACACAGCGCTTTTGTTCCTTTTCTTCTTACAGATATTTTGATTATTTTTTATTTCCTCCACTTTCTTCCGTTAGTGGAATTTAATGAAACTTTACACGAGCTTTCCTGTATGAGAGGCGATGGCCAGGAACGTTTTCTTTCTTCGATCGGTTTACAACAAACCAGTCAATCGCGGCCTGATTGGTCAAGATTTTGCCAAAATTTCGTCCAATTATCATGAAAATTGGTATCTAAGTCTAGGTTTTCACAAGAAACACAATGGTGACATTTCTTTTCCGATTGGACAAGATGGCCGTCACATAGTCACAACTACAGAATTGTGTTGAGACAGATGTAACGGATCCCGTTACAATAAGTACTTGTATACATTCCAGTGTAATAATATATGTTCCTTTTTTTAATTTTGAAGTTATGTAGGCAGACAGATATAGTTAAAATTGAATTCACGCAAATGAATACTGCCATATCTGAGAGAAGGGTACTCAGCACAAAAACACAAATTGAAACTAAATATCTGAAAGTTAATTTTGCATAATGTATGATTTAATGATTGAGGACAGGTTAACAAAACTAATAATTACGATTTAGGTAATATTAACTTTGAAGATGGCTATTTCCAAGAAGCTTTGGGAAGAATGCTTTGAATATCAAATTACCAAGAGACTGAAGCAATGGGTTGTAAATAATGCCGAATTGTACAAAAGACTCAAACGAATAACACCTTTCAATACAAATTTAAAATTAGATAAAGTAGAGCCGAACAATGGATTGGATTACATTATACAACTGTTTCCTCCTTCTAGTCAGCGATGCTAAGGGCCTAAATTTTGAAATCGTAATATTCTCTCTGATTATTCTTAAAGTACAAAGTACAAAATCCCAGAATTTGGTATTTGGATATAATTAAATGGTAATGGTGAAGTTTAAGTATGTCCGCTATCACGACCTTTCGGTCTGTTAGCAGACGAGAAGGAAATTACCATTCTTTAAAGAGAATCCATATTTCCTTGTTGTTGTGATATTTATGTCCCTAAAACGAAGAAGGGGACACAGCGCTTTTGTTCCTTTTCTTCTTACAGATATTTTGATTATTTTTTATTTCCTCCACTTTCTTCCGTTAGTGGAATTTAATGAAACTTTACACGAGCTTTCCTGTATGAGAGGCGATGGCCAGGAACGTTTTCTTTCTTCGATCGGTCAACAGATCGGTTAACAACAAACCAGTCAATCGCGGCCTGATTGGTCAAGATTTTGCCAAAATTTCGTCCAATGGTGACATTTTTTTTCCGATTGGACAAGATGGCCGTCACATAGTCACAACTGCAGAATTGTGTGGAGACATATGTAACGGATCCCGTTACAATAAGTACTTGTATACATTCCAGTGTAATAATAATATATGTAATATGGGAGGGGGGGGGGCAACTGGTGAAAATCTACGCTTACACATAAAACTATCAGAATCTAGACGTGGGAAGCCCTATAATTCAATAAAATTAGTAATATTCTCTCTGTTTATTCTTAAAGTACGTGAAGTACAAATGTATGTTGATTCTCGATGCTCCTGGGGTTACTTTCGCTCTCTGCACCTCTGGAACATGTCATAGCAAAATTGAAGACACAAGCGAAGTAGATGGAATGGTTCATGCAGAAAAAACCCAGACCAATCACAGGCAGATACCCTCCTTTTGAAGATTACAAAAGAACGACATCCAACTTTAAGTCGTTACATTATACCGTTATTCGACCTCGAGATTCGTTTGATGTTCATCAAAGGATCAATCTAGCCTTTCCGCCTTGTTCAATTTGGCAATGACAGGATCCACGGGTGCAGAGAACGAAAGTGACCGTAACCCCTGGAGTATCAATGATGCTTATGAACGATGCCAGTAATCGAACAATGTTAAACTGAGTTTTGCCTCATATCATAGTTTTGATTTTCCTTATTCACTCTGCCATTTTTATATTGTTTACTGAATTTAATTGATGTTCTGTTTATTTTCACAATTACTGCTCTCAAAGACTCTCTGTAGTTGTGTAAGATACAATGTTACAAGAGTCTAGACAATTCCCAAGAATGTTGGAGATTTAAACAAAAACTTTCAGGAATCTGAGCTAGAATTACGTGTATGACCTTTTTTCCAGACAAAATGAAAATGCTACATTATTTTCAAAGTTATGAATTTTATTATCATGCATGGAACTAAAATTAATGTATAATATAATACATATATATAAAGAAATAACAGGATAAGTGGATGATTAATTTTGAAAATACAAACTGTTTATGAGTTCCTAAACGTAAACGTAATTAACATATCATTATATATGTCGACGTACTTTAACTGTAATCATGGGAAGTGTTTGCAAAAGTTTGCTATATAAATATACACATTACTGTGCAAATTTGCTTCACGCTTTCAATATTTATATACTCGGAAAACCAACATTAAACTGACTTTTTCATTTTGTTGTTTGATAGTCGCACATTTTAGTTAAATGCTTTGATTTCATCTCTAGGAAAGTCAATAGAAATGTATTTGACGTTTTACTCCATACTGTGACCAGAGTCCTACAACATATTTGATAGTTTTATGGATAACGCTCCTAACAATAAAGTGTTATTGCTACAGCCGGGACACACACTACACATGGGAGTATATCGGACGTTTCTATCAGATGTGAAATCTTAGTCGATGTCTCACAGGCGAGATATTTTATTCACCATTAATCGTTATTGACATAGCATTGTGCCTATGCTGTCTAATAGGACATTTAAAGGAATTCTGGATTTCATTTTCCATATCAAAATGTCATAAAAATAAAATAAAAAATCTAATTTTCCGCTCGACATTACGATTGATTGAGAAAAATACCACTGTTTTGTCAACATTTAAACGAGATAGTGAAATAGTCACTACTGTTTGACCGGAAGTTCAGCGTAAACGTAAACTTATTGTTTACACAGCAGACTTACGTCAAAAGTCAGAAATGGCGCTGCCATCGTCGGAATACGCCTGCCCCATATATTGTTGCTGTAAGCGGCAGTGACGGAAAATAGGTGTATTTTTTGTCACGTGCGTTAATTGGACAAAATTACTCTCTAAGTCTACTTAAAAAATATCTTTACACTATAAATGACCGTTGAAAATTCATTAAATCGCTGTCGTTTCCTTTGATATTTGGAATATATTTCTGCGCGGAGGATTAGTTTGGCGTACGTAATCAGGCGAAATTCAGCGTAACGTCAACGTCAGGCAAACGCAGATTGGACAACAAAACTGTTCACATTTTGATGGTCTGATTTTCAATCAATGTTGCAGAATAGATAAAATATAAGCTGCAGTTTTGTTCGGGACACCCTCACAATAATAAAAACTTATATTTTAAGACACTGACCATATATTATCTATAAATTTCACAACAGGTCACAGGTCTCGTGGATCAACCAATGTGGTACCATTTCTATTCTAAAAGCCATAGGGCAGATAAGTCACCAATATCAATCAATATGGTCTTTATGTATTTAAAGGTCAAAGGTGAAATTGGTCATCACTTTCAATTAATATTTGATACTTATTATTTTATATATCAATGCAACAGTTTTATAACAAAAGTCAACGAATCGGTCTGGATGGTCGACATGGGTCACACATTAAACTGACCTTCAACACAAGTCAATATATGATACCATGGATTTTGATTGGTCAATAAGTTATTGCTTGAATTAATGATCGATAAATGATTGGTAGTCTGATATCATCGTTTTCACATTAAGCTGACAACACTGACTACTATGATAAGTTAATTTTGTGTATAAAGCTCCTATTTTCAGTAACCAAAGACAATAGAACATGAGCTACATGCACGTGACTTTGCAGATAGCCGGTAACTATGAACTATTCTTAAATGTTCGGGAACGGATTTTCGTGACATAATTTGTACATATCAGTCCGGAAAATCGGATATATATAGTGAACCCTTTAGAAAAGACAAGACACAAAACGTAACCTGAATCCTGACTAAGGGTAGAATTTCCAGTTGATGGACAGTGATACATATGTTGTCATGACAACTTTAAGGTTTCCAAAAGGCATGACAGATCAGTGTTAACAGATTGCTCCAAAACAACAACGACGCCGTCCAGATGTTACCAATGTGACTGTAGCCGAAGTATCAATTACATCTGTCTAACAACGTCTCAGTCATCGGTATGAACAAGTAGATTGTTTAAAGTTTGAAAACATGGATATCCATTTATGTTTCTGAACATATAGTCCTACTTTTACCTCAATATAACTTTCAGTCTGCCTTCTCTCATACACGTAAAATATGATTTGATCTACATATGATTTAAAACAAATTATTGTCTCTTGTATAAACTTAACACTAACACATGTTACTCTAATTGCCAAGTTAAAGCATATAACTTAACGTTACATAAACTTCTTTTTGAGAATATCATTCTTATTCTATTGCTTCAGTGTTACCAATAATGGTGATAGATAAAGACAGGTAAAGTTAATTAATTATCTCGCCTCTTAATACCGGTTCAGCAATCAAGAAATAATTCACAAATGATAAATAAAACATGTTACCTGTTACCTATCCACTTCGTGCCTTGTGGCACATAAGGCCTTCACAGAACGCTTCCATCTCTGCCGGTCTGTTGCTTTCTTCGGGGAATCACCAAGGGTCAAAAGAAAATACGACAGGGGTTGAAATTATTCTAATGAAATAGTTCAGGAAAAAACAATAAAAGAGAGACCTACGCTTGAAATGAGACACGATTACTGTTTATTAATTCAGATAAATGATAAATAATACTAACGATCTTGTGTATGGATGTTTCAAACTTGCTAACATTTAATCCTGTTCTGTTAATGTTCCGCATGAAAATAGCAGGCGCCTAGTTTTCTTTGACCTATGATCGACATTTTAGTGATCAGAAGGACAAGGCTGGAGGCGATATTACTTATATACGTTGTAGTTATAAGAGATGTATATCGATAGACACCTACATACCTTGATCATTCTCCTTTCACAGGCCATTAAACCTACATGTATATTCTACAGCGTTATCACAAAATTGTAAGGCATTTATATTTCACTTCTCTAATCACAATTCTAGACTTGTCTTTTCTGTCTGTAGTTTAAGAGCCGGATAATTTTTGAAAAATGTATTTATCAATTCAAAAAATATCTAACTATCATTTTACTATATCTTGTTTGTATGTCTATTTTAGCACTTTCTATAATGTAGTACATATTCCTATAATTTTATTAACCGTGATACTGTAATTACTATAATTTTATCAAATGGAATTATGTAATTACTGTAACTTTAGTAACCGTAATTCTGTAATTACTATAATCTTATTAACTGGAATTCTGTAATTACTATAATTTGATTAACCCTAATTCTTTAATTACTGTAATTTCATCAACTGTAATTACTGTAACTTTGTAAACCGTAATTCTGTTTCTACTACAACTTTAACTGTAATTATCTAATTGCTCAAACTTTATTAACTGTAATTCGGATTTCTTTGCAGGTTCTTGTCAGGCCCATACCCACATCATTACAACAACTTTATACAACGACCTTTTCGATCACTACAACAGCAGGCTCATCCCCGTATGTGCCATGAACGGAAATGTCACTCTTTATCTCAGCACTGCACTCCGGCAGATAATGGACCTCGTAAGTACTCTGTTTAATTACTTCTTAATGATCAAAAGTTAACTTAAATAACACAATGCTTTTATTTTAAATTAAAACAAAAACCAAAAAAACAAAAAAATCATGTTGAAAAAAATGTTATCATCCATCATATTGTTTTATGCGTCAGTTTGTCAGTTCACTTATCTTGAAAGTAAATCTTAATCAACATTCGCTATCCGAGAAAACATGTGATATTCTGCAGGACACCAAAACTTCACATTTACAAAGAAGTTTTTAAAAATGGAAGAACAAGCATTGTGAGATTTAGGATAGGATTGATCATTGCAATTAGGGTCGATCGAAATATGCACAAAAATGAAATTTAGTGATAATGCGTACCTACATACCTGAGAACACAGATAGAGAGAGAATTTGTTTTGATTTTTTTTGTTTCTTATAAATAAAATGTTATTTTACGTTAAAATGATAGATCGTTTTACTTTGATTATCAATATATTATTTTTTTATATGAAATTTGTATTTTGTAACATGCAGATGCATCAAAAAATGAAGATTTCATAAAGAATCACCTTTAAACTCGTATTTGAGTTTAATGCAACTTAGTTCATTACACATCATCCCTTGAATCCCACAATTATCTTTACTTGTATTATACCAACATGCATGTCTTTGTATCACAATTATCTTTACTTGTATTATACCAACATGCATCACTTTGTATCGATAGGTTTCAAACCAAAAAGATCACTAATGCTATTCAGGAAGCAGTTTGACACATCAATAAAACTGATATATCTGAATATGAATGTGATCGTATTTGGAACCTCCCTGTTAATACAACCCTGGAAACGGGACGAAAGTTATACTCTGTTTACTGCCATTGACTACTTTTATCAGGTTATACCCCTCTGTTAACTGCCACTGACTACTTTTATCAGGTAATACCCTCTGTTAACTGCCATTGACTACTTTTATCAGGTTATACCCTCTGTTTACTGCCATTGACTACTTTTATCAGGTTATACCCCTCTGTTAACTGCCACTGACTACTTTTATCAGGTTATATCCTCTGTTAACTGCAATTGACTATTTCTATCAGGTTATATCCTCTGTTAACTGCCATTGACTACTTTTATCAGGTTATACCCTCTGTTTACTGCCATTGACTACTTTTATCAGGTTATATCCTCTGTTAACTGCCATTGAGTACTTTTATCAGGTTTTCCCTTCTGTTTACTATCAGGTTATACCCTCTGTTAACTGCCATTGACTACTTTTATCAGGTTATACCCTCTGTGCCATTGACTACTTTTATCAGGTTATAGTCCTCTGTTAATGACTACTTTTATCAGGTTATACCCTCTGTTTACTGCCAATGACTACTTTTATCAGGTTATACCCTCTGTTTACTGCCACTGACTACTTTTATCAGGTTATACCCTCTGTTTACTGCCACTGACTACTTTTATCAGGTTATACCCCTCTGTTTACTGCCACTGACTACTTTTATCAGGTTATACCCTCCTCTGTTAACTGCCACTGACTACTTTTATCAGGTTATACCCTCTGTTAACTGCCATTGACTACTTTTATCAGGTAATAACCTCTGTTTACTGCCACTGACTACTTTTATCAGGTAATACCCTCTGTTTACTGCCATTGACTACTTTTATCAGGTTTTCCCTTCTGTTTACTGCCACTGACTACTTTTATCAGGTTATACCCTCTGTTAACTGCCATTGACTACTTTTATCAGGTTATACCCTCTGTTTACTGCCACTGACTACTTTTATCAGGTTATACCCTCCTCTGTTACCCTCTGTTTACTGCCATTGACTGCCATTGACTATTGACTACTTTTATCAGGTTATACCCTCTGTTTACTGCCATTGACTACTTTTATCAGGTTATACCCTCTGTTTACTGCCACCCTCTGTTAACTGACTACTTTTATCAGGTTATACCCTCTGTTTACTGCCATTGACTACTTTTATCAGGTTATACCCTCTGTTTACTGCCATTGACTACTTTTATCAGGTTATACTGCCCTCTGTTACTGCCATTGACTACTTTTATCAGGTTTTCCCTTCTGTTTACTGCCACTGACTACTTTTTTCAGGTTATACCCTCTGTTTACTGCCATTGACTACTTTTATCAGGTTATACCCTCTATTTACTGCCATTGACTACTTTAATCAGGTAATACCCTCTGTTAACTGCCATTGACTACTTTTATCAGGTTATACCCTCTGTTTACTGCCACTGACTACTTTTATCAGGTTATACCCCTCTGTTTACTGCCACTGACTACTTTTATCAGGTTATACCCCTCTGTTAACTGCCACTGACTACTTTTATCAGGTAATACCCTCTGTTAACTGCCATTGACTACTTTTATCAGGTTATACCCTCTGTTTACTGCCATTGACTACTTTTATCAGGTTATACCCTCTGTTTACTGCCACTGACTAGTTTTATCAGGTTATACCCATCTTTTAAATCCCACTGACTACTTTCATCAGGTTATACCCTCTGTTTACTGCCACTGATTACTTTTATCAGGTTATACCCTCTGTTTACTGCCATTGACTACTTTTATCAGGTTATACCCTCTGTTTACTGCCATTGACTACTTTTATCAGGTTATATCCTCTGTTAACTGCCATTGACTACTTTTATCAGGTTATACCCTCTGTTTACTGCCACTGACTACTTTTATCAGGTTATACCCTCTGTTTACTGCCATTGACTACTTTTATCAGGTTATACCCTCTGTTAACTGCCATTGACTACTTTTATCAGGTTATACCCTCTGTTTACTGCCAATGACTACTTTTATCAGGTTATACCCTCTGTTTACTGCCATTGACTACTTTTATCAGGTTATACCCTCTGTTTACTGCCATTGACTACTTTTATCAGGTTATACCCTCTGTTTACTGCCACTGACTACTTTTATCAGGTTATACCCTCTGTTTACTGCCATTGACTACTTTTATCAGGTTATACCCTCTGTTAACTGCCATTGACTACTTTTATCAGGTTATACCCTCTGTTTACTGCCACTGACTACTTTTATCAGGTTATATCCTCTGTTTACTGCCATTGACTACTTTTATCAGGTTATACCCTCTGTTTACTGCCACTGACTACTTTTATCAGGTTATACCCTCTGTTAACTGCCATTGACTACTTTTATCAGGTTATACCCTCTGTTTACTGCCACTGACTACTTTTATCAGGTTATACCCTCTGTTTACTGCCATTGACTACTTTTATCAGGTTATATCCTCTGTTAACTGCCATTGAGTACTTTTATCAGGTTTTCCCTTCTGTTTACTGCCATTGACTACTTTTATCAGGTTATACCCTCTATTTACTGCCATTGACTACTTTAATCAGGTAATATACCCTACTTTTATCAGGTTATACCCTCTGTTACTGCCATTGACTACTTTTATCAGTTATACCCTCTGTTACTGCCACTGTTATACTACTTTTATCAGGTTCTGTATACCCTCTGTTTACTGCCACTGACTACTTTTATCAGGTTATACCCTCTGTTTACTGCCATTGACTACTTTTATCAGGTTATACCCTCTGTTTACTGCCACTGACTACTTTTATCAGGTTATACCCTCTGTTTACTGCCATTGACTACTTTTATCAGGTTATACCCTCTGTTGACTGCCATTGAATACTTTTATCAGGTTATATCCTCTGTTTACTGCCACTGACTACTTTTATCAGGTTATACCCCCTGTTTACTGCCACTGACTACTTTTATCAGGTTATACCCTCTGTTAACTGCCATTGACTACTTTTATCAGGTTATATTGACTACTTTTATCCCTCTGTTAACTGCCATTGACTACTTTTATCAGGTTATACCCTCTGTTTACTGCCACTGACTACTTTTATCAGGTTATATCCTCTGTTTACTGCCATTGACTACTTTTATCAGGTTATATCCTCTGTTTACTGCCACTGGCTAGTTTTATCAGGTTATACCCTCTGTTAACTGCCATTGACTACTTTTATCAGGTTATACCCTCTGTTTACTGCCACTGACTACTTTTATCAGGTTATACCCCTCTGTTGACTGCCACTGACTACTTTTATCAGGTTATATCCTCTGTTTACTGCCACTGGCTAGTTTTATCAGGTTATACCCCTCTGTTAACTGCCACTGACTACTTTTATCAGGTTATATCCTCTGTTTACTGCCATTGACTACTTTTATCAGGTTATATCCTCTGTTTACTGCCACTGGCTAGTTTTATCAGGTTATACCCCTCTGTTAACTGCCACTGACTACTTTCATCAGGTTATACCCTCTGTTTACTGCCACTGATTACTTTTATCAGGTTATACCCTCTGTTTACTGCCATTGACTACTTTTATCAGGTTATACCCTCTGTTTACTGTGTTTACTACCCCTCACTGCCACTGACTACTTTTATCAGGTTATACCCTCTGTTTACTGCCACTGACTACTTTTATCAGGTTATACCCTCTGTTTACTGCCATTGACTACTTTTATCAGGTTATACCCTCTGTTGACTGCCATTGAATACTTTTATCAGGTTATATCCTCTGTTAACTGCCATTGACTATTTTTATCAGGTTATATCCTCTGTTAACTGCCATTGACTACTTTATAAGGTTATACCCTCTGTTTACTGCCATTGACTACTTTTATCAGGTTATATCCTCTGTTAACTGCCATTGACTACTTTTTTCAGGTTATATCCTCTGTTAACTGCCATTGACTACTTTTATCAGGTAATACCCTCTGTTTACTGCCATTGACTACTTTTATCAGGTTATACCCTCTGTTTACTGCCACTGACTACTTTTATCAGGTTATACCCTCTGTTAACTGCCATTGACTACTTTTATCAGGTTATATCCTCTGTTAACTGCCATTGACTACTTTTATCAGGTTATACCCTCTGTTTACTGCCATTGACTACTTTTATCAGGTTAAACCCTCTGTTAACTGCCATTGACTACTTTTATCAGGTTATACCCTCTATTAACTTCCATTGACTACTTTTATCAGGTTATACCCTCTGTTTACTGCCATTGACTACTTTTATCAGGTTATACCCTCTGTTTACTGCTGACTACTTTTATCAGGTTATACCCTCTGTTTAATTGACTACTTTTATCAGGTTATACCCTCTGTTAACTGCCACTGACTACTTTTATCAGGTTATACCCCTCTGTTAACTGCCACTGACTACTTTTATCAGGTAATACCCTCTGTTAACTGCCATTGACTACTTTTATCAGGTTATACCCTCTGTTTACTGCCACTGACTACTTTTATCAGGTTATACCCTCTGTTTACTGCCATTGACTACTTTTATCAGGTTATACCCTCTGTTTACTGCCACTGACTAGTTTTATCAGGTTATACCCCTCTGTTAACTGCCACTGACTACTTTTATCAGGTTATACCCTCTGTTTACTGCCACTGACTACTTTTATCAGGTTATACCCTCTGTTGACTGCCATTGAATACTTTTATCAGGTTATATCCTCTGTTAACTGCCATTGACTACTTTTATCAGGTTATACCCTCTGTTTACTGCCATTGACTACTTTTATCAGGTTATATCCTCTGTTAACTGCCATTGACTACTTTTTTCAGGTTATATCCTCTGTTAACTGCCATTGACTACTTTTATCAGGTTTTCCCTTCTGTTTACTGCCACTGACTACTTTTATCAGGTTATACCCTCTGTTTACTGCCATTGATTACTTTTATCAGGTTATATCCTCTGTTAACTGCCATTGACTACTTTTATCAGGTTTTCCCTTCTGTTTACTGCCACTGACTACTTTTATCAGGTTATACCCTCTATTTACTGCCATTGACTACTTTAATCAGGTAATACCCTCTGTTAACTGCCATTGACTACTTTTATCAGGTTATACCCTCTGTTTACTGCCACTGACTACTTTTATCAGGTAAAACCCTCTGTTTACTGCCATTGACTACTTTTATTAGGTTATACCCTCTGTTAACTTCCATTGACTACTTTTATCAGGTTATACCCTCTGTTTACTGCCACTGACTACTTTTATCAGGTAATACCCTCTGTTAACTGCCATTGACTACTTTTATCAGGTTATACCCTCTGTTTACTGCCACTGACTACTTTTATCAGGTAAAACCCTCTGTTTACTGCCATTGACTACTTTTATTAGGTTATACCCCCTGATTACTGCCATTGACTACTTTTATCAGGTTAAACCCTCTGTTAACTGCCATCGACTACTTTTATCAGGTTAAACCCTCTGTTTACTGCCATTGACTACTTTTATCAGGTTATAACCCCTGTTTACTGCCACTGACTACTTTTATCAGGTTATACCCTCTGTTAACTTCCACTGACTACTTTTATCAGGTTATATCCTCTGTTAACTGCCATTGACTACTTTTATCAGGTTATACCCTCTGTTAACTGCCATTGACTACTTTATAAGGTTATACCCTATGTTTACTGCCATTGACTACTTTTATCAGGTGATACCCTCTGTTTACTGCCATTGACTACTTTTATCAGGTTATACCCTCTGTTAACTTCCATTGACTACTTTTATCAGGTTATACCCTCTGTTTACTGCCATTGACTATTTTTATCAGGTTATATCCTCTGTTAACTGCCATTGACTACTTTATAAGGTTATACCCTATGTTTACTGCCATTGACTACTTTTATCAGGTTATATCCTCTGTTAACTGCCATTGACTACTTTATAAGGTTATACCCTATGTTTACTGCCATTGACTACTTTTATCAGGTAATACCCTGTTTTCTGCCATAGATTATATTGATGAGCTGATACGTTTTTAACCAAAAATAAAGAGAAATGTATATGATGAAGAATTGAAATATACATATACATTGATAATTGTTTAGAACACCATGAAACTGCTCGTTCTTGACCAACAACGAATTCTTTATTGCGTAACCGAATTTAATTTAGGTACTTATAAAATTTTGACTCATTTATATTGATTAACATTTGTATCAAAACGATACAATTGGATTATTTTATCAACATTTCCAATCGCAATTTCAAATTCATATTTAAAATATGACTACTTTGTAGACAGTTATACATAAATGTACCCTGGTTGTCAATCAAAATTTAATGTTTTCCAAATTTCAATAACTATCGCGTTTTAAAATACTTTATTTATAATAAGTTTTAGTCTATATAGATTATGCTACACCCTACCATGTTTTTGCCATCAGGGGTGCAGGAAGCGATTGTGATTGTAACCCCTGGGGTATCGATGCTATAGTGCCATGTGTCGCCGATAAAGCAAAAGAATATATTCTTTCAGAAACTATCGTCTTATTTCGCTGTTAGCTTTTACACTTGTAGTTATCAGACATGTGACCAGAACACGATTTTCTGAAATATTGATATGTTGGGATGAATACAGGATCTCGCATGTATTTCTATTTGATGTGTGAATCTATGATGCTGGTTTTAATTTTAGGAGCCTCATGCAAGCTGAAATGGAAATAAAATCATGACTTTCTGAATTATTTTTTTACATTAGTATTCTTTTTACCACTTGATCCATTTTTCAAGCAAATATAGCGCAGAAAGGACATTTCTACGCCAAAGTTGAAGTAATGTCAGGTGTTTACCTGTGGTCTCCGTTGTTACGTCACAATACTATCTGTGAATGTTTGATATAATTTCCTATCTTAATTGACTTTATAACAATCTATATGACACAAAATGCGCCAAAATATATCGAAATATTCATTGTGATAGAACAAGAGTAACTGTGAAACTAATGAATGCTCCCCGAAAACGACTTTATTGAAAATAAAATTCAATCAAAGGGCAATAATTCTGTAATGAAGAAGTTGCAGCCATAAATTTGGTACACTGCACATTCTCTTAGTATGACCAATGTATACACCAAGTTTCAATATCTCCTAAATTATACAAAATAGAGCTTTGGTTTTTCTACACTTCACTTACGGAGATCTATCTACAGGTGAAGTTTCACGTTGATAATATGCTCTGGACAAAATTAGGACAGACGAACGGACGGACAAAGCGGCGACTGTTATATAAATCTAGTTTAAAGGGGATTTGTGTTTTTTATTATTTCAGAATGAACGAGAACAGGTTATTTCCATCAACGTTTGGATTCGGATGGTAAGTGCTTAATTTACAAAAGAGGGATTTGAAACCGCCGATCTTTTATTCATGTTTCAACTATACAATAATCAATACTTTAAGTACAAAGTCTATGTCCCCCTTCGTCGAAAAATTTTGTAATTTCCATTTGAAAAAAAGTCAATTTTCTTGAAATCTACCTGAAATATGTTTTCATCTTGTTGAAAACCGAGTAGTTTTTGTAAAAGGGAGTTGTTTCCCCTTAAATGCTAACTGATCGTGCCGCCTTCGTTACAAATGTAAATGATAAAATTTAACATCGCATCATCATTATTTCCTCTGTGTAATCCACAATACTGACTGGATACCATTTGCATGCATGTTCGGTTCTTTACACGAAACAAGACAAGACAGATAAACATCTATTTTTTGTTTACTAAAGCGATGGAACGATTGCAGTATGAAGTGGAACGTTTCAGACTATGACGGAATCGACCACTTCTCTGTGCCGTATGATGCAATTTGGATCCCGGATATCTCGCTATACGACAGGTAGGTAGACATTCAATATTTCTATTAGACGAGTTTTGTTGTTTTGCTATAGAAATAAGGAGAAAAAAATAATTATATTGTTATGAAATCAGAATTTTTAAAATGATTAATCCTTGTTCTCGAAATCACGTAAGTGGATAATACATCAAAGGAAAGTTGTGTTTGATGTTTTAATTTACTTTTCCTGGTAGTACCTCCCGCTACGTGACTACGATAAAGACATGGATTCCTCGATTTTGCAGAATTCCCTCTATAAAGTTTCTCCGAAATTTCATGTGGTCATAGTGAAGCGATCACGTCAACACTTGAAGTATCGCCTTAAGGCAGAAGTGTTACTTTTCATATGATTTGTTTTTAAGTCCGAAGGAAACAAAGATGAAAAACAACTCTGACAAGTTAAAATTAGGTGATAGCGTGCATGTTTTTATGCACATACTGGAGATTGAATAATGAATTTTGCCGTTTTTACACGAAACGTAAAACCCAAATTAATTACTGACAAATTACTTGAAGCAAAGAAAAGTAAATCGGAAAATGTTACCAAGGTTTTCATGTGCTTTCCACTTCACATTTCGATGACACATTTTTGCATGTCGAAATACATTTCTTCTAGGTCAATGTCGATCATCGGCCTCAATCGGAAAAATGGCCGCTGTCTTTGGGCAAGCGTCAGAATTCATGAGTAAATCGGGGATTAGATCGTGAAAATTATCCAATGAAAAGACGCGTTACATAATCATTATGTAGATGTATGTAAATGTATGTAGTGGAGAAAAAACCAGGTATGATCTTCTGTATTTTTAGTGCCAGTGATGAAGTTATGATGCCAGGAAAGGAGGACTATAAGGCTACTGTAAGCAATGACGGCACTGTCAACTACAACTTTCCGACAGTACTCAAGAGCATCTGTCGGGTTGACGTTACATACTTTCCTTTCGACGCACAGAGCTGTAGTCTCAAATTCGGCTCATGGTCTCATCATGGCTTTGAGATAGATTTAATCAACTTAAAAGAAGAAGGTAGGTGTCCTAGTGTTGTTTGTGGTGTACTGAACTCATGAGAAAGGTGTTCATTCTTTTTTACTTTCAGACTCATTCAACAACGATATGTAGACAGGTGTTCACGATTCCAAACACACAAGACCAAGGTATCAGCATGATTTCAATGCAGCATAAGCATCTACCATAACTGAAGATAGATATCCTCTATTGGCGAAACAATGATAGGTTCACTTGTATAAGAATAATGCTTGTTCTGTGGACAGTAAAAGTTTACCAGAATGATACGTTTTGTATTCGCGTCAGAATTTTAGACATAATTTACTCATACCAATAAGGCTTGTGTACCTTTCGCACTGTGGCTCTATAATTAAAATAATCAGAGTAATTTTGTTAGACATTGTACAAAAACACAAAAGTGAATGAAAAATTTGAATTCAAATTTAGAAAAAGAAACATTAGAATCAAGTTATGAAATAAGCTACATCATGTTTCGTCCTTCAGGGACTCGTTAGTGGTCATAAAAACCTTTACTATGAAACTTATGAGACGACAGAGGATGCTAAAGATTGGCAAAAAGAAATGCCGAAATCTTTCAAAGAACGACAAATACACGCGAGCAGGTTACAGCAAATCTCGGGGACTGAAAGTCCACCAGCAATTTCTAACACCTGTTATCTCGGTGATTGTACAATTAATACACACGTAAACAGTTCGTTTCAATACAAGTTTAGAAGAAGTATAGCTAAATGATGCATTCAACAACATTGTACAACGGTTTCGTCACAATATACACAATGATATTTTAATAACATGATATGTCTTTTCTAAATGGTTAAAAATCTTTTATTTCAGCGGATTTGTCCTACTATGTTCGACATAATGAGTGGGAGTTAACCGGTATGCCAGCGCAGAGGAACGTCCTTTATTATGCCTGCTGTCCAGCGCCATACCCTGACATCACATATAGCATCAACATAAGACGAAAGTCTCAGTTTTACGTGATGACTGTATTGTTCCCCTGTATTTTGACTAGTATCGTCGCCACGCTTAGCTTCATACTCCCGGCTGAATCGGGCGAGAAGGTTTCCTTAGGCATTACAGTTCTACTGTCTCTCGCCGTCTTCCTCCTCCTGGTGTCCGAGTCAATGCCAGCATCATCCGACTCTTTTCCGTATATTGGTAAAGATGATATTTTTACCTGTGTTCCTATCGTGTCATTATTTGCAATATATATTCTTTACAAAATGACATTTCGTGGGTATTTAGCTTTTCAGTTTGATATTTGCTTTGACATTAAATTACGTCACACATACAGCAAATGTATAAAGTCAATTACCTAATAGCGGACGATATTACAAGTTTGCCATAGGGAGAGAACATATCTATACATGATCGAGGTAAAATGTGAAAGAACATGCCATCCCTGGTGTGCAATGTGCAATAGTTTAAAAAAACTCACCCGCTATCAATAGTTCACACTGAAAACATTTTGCCCTATTAAACATGCGGTAACTTCATCACGTGATTTTTCCTCTTTCATGATCGATGCTTAATTTTGTTTATGCAAAAATAAGTAAATAATTCAAATGGAAAAAAAATCTTGCTCAGAACGAAGGTAGTATCATGTCTGGGTAAAGATGTGAAGAAATAAGGTACCCTAAAAATATATTTTTTTGCATTTTTTTTTTAAATCAATGAGTGTTTTAGAGGTTTGTGTTATGACCCCATTGCATGCACTACTGTTACTGACACAAAGAATAATGCTTGTTTGGCTTTCCGTTTGTTTATTATCATAAAAAATACATCGACAGGAAAGATTTCGCGTCGATGTTGAAAATTATTTAGAGAGGTAATTATCATATACAGAGTTCCTGTTTTTTCATTGCTTTCTTATGTAATCGTATTGCCATCAATCAACTCACTAATTGTGACATCAGTTGTGCAATATATATTAAAAAATATTGTGCAAATATAGTTCAATATACATTAAAAATGATTTGCAATTAGTTACATCAAAGACTTTACAAAAGACGCACAGGTGAGTAGCATTTTTTGATACTAATTTAGTTGGAGTAGAGCCAAACAATGAATCAAACCTGATCATACAGCTTTTTTGTCCTTCTAGGACTCGTCAGAAGACAACTGGGGATAATCCTAAGGGATCGAAAGAAAAAATCAATATCTAAACAGGGAAGTGCACAGGCTCCCGATAATTAGATAAATTTCTTAATTTATATATAGTTGACAATTTCAGGACAATGTCAAGTACATGTGTATTTTGTCTTGTATCCTCTGCTCACATTTTTGTCTAGCGAGGTAACCGTATCATCCCTTCATTTCAGGAATGTACTTTGCTGCTTCCATGGTCCTAGTGTCATTATCGTGTACAATGACTGTTATTGTTCTGATGTTCCATTCACGAGGGTGTTCAGGCAGGAAAATTCCACTCTGGGCAAAACGTATCTTCATTGAAAAACTGGGCAAGCTGTTTTGTTCTCAGTCAGGAAAATATCTTCTGGACAATGCAAAAGACCTCGAGCCAGTGGAATTGGTGGGTGTATTATATATCTGAATTACATGTGCATTTTAAAGTACTTTGTGCAAATAAGACGTAGGTTTTCTTTTAATTGTGGATGATCTTTATATCATAAGTTAATCTTTATCTATTCATTTTAAAGTATCTGGATTGCATTGACAATTGCCGGTGTAAATGGAAGAGTGTGGTCGACTAATCTTGTGTTATCATTAATTTTGTATCTCTTAAGTCGTTCATGTTGTTTCTTGTCTAAAGAACACTGATTTCTAAGTCTGCAGTCATGTTTGTTGTCTTCTCCCATTAATATTCAAATCTATTGTGTTTTCCGTACGTCGTTTTCTATTGTTTGACCAGCTGCCTTCAGTGTCCTTTATTACTGTTGTCTTTTTGTCTTTTCATATCTTTTCGTAACTTTTTCTTCTGTGTTCAGAATGTTTTTGTCCTTAAAAATGATATTAACTTTCGTTCAGTGTTTGAAACCCTAGGGAGTTATTCTATTTCCTTGTGTGATATGAAGCTGGGAGTATTTGATGCTCGGTAATTAGCCTGTTGGTTACATTGTCGTATACCTTGTTCTTATTTGAGAACGTGACATTACTTACTCAAATTGACCAAGATTTACATGGCGGGTGTCGTCGATCAAGGCGCTTACATCTGGTCCTGTTCCACGTAGAATTTGAATTTCGAATTATGATTATATTCCTATATTGGTATTATCTTGCTGTTTTTATTTTCCGTTTGTGTTAAAATTAAGTAGTGTTAACGTTTAACTTTGTCGCTTTATGCTGATCTTGACGTCTGTTTTATTACATTTGTTCCAATATGTCCACGATATGACACATGTTCTCTTTATTTTCAGTGTGTGAACGGACACACCAATAAGGTAGGTCACTCAGAGATACCAGCGGAGCAAACAACCAACTTTGTTACAAACAATTCCACAACGGATGTGCTTCTACGGACCAAGGACCCAATAGCGAAACTCATGCGTACACAATCGGTCGTTCTAGAAAGACTAGAAAACAGTTTAAACAAAACCAATGTTTCTGACAACTTAGAAGATGAGTGGCACCAGTTAGCTCGCGTGCTGGACCGATTGTTTCTTTTCTTATATATAGTCATATCACTCATTACGTCATCAGTATTTCTCGGAATAATGTCAAGTAATTCATGACAGAAGATCATGTGACGTACATGTTTGGATTACTGCTGAAATTGTCTTAAAATCACACATAAGGATCGTATCACATACATTTTTGTCAAAACGATAACAAAAATGTATTTGAAATTTTTAACATATATCAAAATGCAATACAGATGCCTGCTGTGCTCTATAACGTTTGTATCTACTTTACATTTTTTACTAATGAAATAATCGTTTTTTCATGAGATAAGTTACGTAAAACATGCATCGACGTAGCCATACTTAAGGTATTGAACTAATATCGGTGATCGGTATTATTCTGCTTGTGCCAAATCCTATAAACTAATTGAACGACATTTTGTGTCAACAATGACATAATGAAGTCACATGCAGTTTATATATATATGGAAAATACTTCATTTTACAATGTATGTTAATGGTACATATTAAAATGTTAATATTATTTATAAAGCGTCGAGCTCATTTGCCTCGGATCGCTGGTTCGATCCGACATGGACGTATTAACCTTTCTGTTATATTTTGTTAGTTAAACGTATAATGTTCTCGTAAACTTGCCAACATTTTAGTGACTTAAAAATCGATGGTTATTGTAAACGACGGAAAATACCATCTATACAATACATCTATAGAAATCTAGGTCAAATTATTTTAAAATGAGAATCAAGGACGTAGCAAAAGACCACCAGGTACCTTATCGGGCACCATACACGTCGACCTTCATATCGCGAATGGAAATGACCAGGAGATACCACGATTGCGATATAAATGTCATGAAACTGTATAAAGAGAGCACAGTTCTTCTTTCATGAGTCAACGTCCATTATAAAAATTGTAGATCTTGATTCCAGAACATCCTAACAACTCAATGTAATTTACTGCAAAATAGGAAATCAGGACTGGACTAACAAGAAATAGGAAATTAATTACAAGCATTGCGTATCACTAATATGTCCCTGTTTGTTATGCTGTACACAGTCGTATTCAGAACAGTTAATTGTACATTGAATGCTAATCTTAGAAGATAAGTGTGATCGACTTGGTCAATTAAATGTTTTTTGAAGGTGTGATCATTGTGCCATGAATATAATGAAAACTAAATTCCAGATATCAACCTTTGTGAAAACCTACTTATACATATATGTACTTATACGAATACTGAGTATTTCAGTAACGGTTTTATTGATGACAACCACATCAATAGTGGCATGAATACACTTTCACTGTTTATCTGTTGTTGTTTGTGTCTAAAGGTAGTACTTTAATATTGAAATAAATAAGTTTGTTCAATAATGTTGAATTTTGTTGAAAACATATCACATTTTAACAATTCAAAAATAACGGTTTATTGTTAATACTATATCATTGATAATTTTAATGTCATTTACAAATATGATTGCTTTCTTAAAATTCGTGACACTGTTTTATAAACAATTGACTTTTCTCAGCAAACCAATTGTAATGTTTTAGACATGATTTTATTTCATATTTGATATATCATATGTATTGCTTAACAAAACCATTTTGTACTTTGATTTGGTTTTAGACTTAATCAGTTTACATTACCGTTTTCTAACTTATTGTGCTGTAAAAGACAATTTGTATCATTTTCCTCCTGTGTCATATTTCAGAATATTAACTTTTTATATACATGGTTATCTTGCTAATGTGTGTTTTGCAAGTTTGACAGTTTTGCAACTTCATTTCACGGCTTTGTTTATAACCAAGTTGACGATTTTGCTGATGGAACTTGTAAATTTTTCACATTTTATTTTTTTCAAATTGTTTACTGATGTATTCGTGAAAAAAACAGATACATGTTCCCACTGTCGGTTTGATATATCTACAAAACGATAAATATGCTAATTATCTTGCATTGCTGAAATCATTAGTTAAACACATTTCTTGTGACTCAATATCTTGTGATACCAAGTTTGTAAATATATGTCTTGTTTGAAAACAAGATAGAAATTAAGTAGAATACAGGAATAGATACATTAAATCCTAAATTCGGATTTCCTTAATACTGTTGCGGATAAATGAGTATTTTATATTTAAAAAAAAAATCCGGATGAATGAGGATATATTGAACGTATTTGAAAGTCGATGTGGCAGGTTTGGTTTTTACCGTTACTGTGCCTCGGATAAGTGGAGTGGAATGATCTGTTCATTTGCTTTCCCATCCGACCACTACTACTTTAAGGTATTATTACACGTATACTAAAGCATCTCCGTGGTTATACATGGATATAAAAAACAGATGTGGACAATTTCGGAAAAAATATTATTTTCCCGTTTTTGAATAAATTTTTGTCTGAGTCATTCATACTCAAAATACTGGTTTTACAGGTTATATGTCCGAGAACCATTTCTTACGGAACACTACCGACTAACAATGTGAGGATGAAATACATACAATTGTTTTTTCTTATTGTTTTTCAAATTCAAACTTCAGACATGAAAGGAACCGGCATGTACAAAAAGTAATGTAACAGAAACGAAATAAACATTCAAAAATTCTTGTCTTGACGACTTTATCGATACATAAGCAAGGGAGATAACTCTGGTTAAATTGGCTACTAAACACAGTCTGGAAAAACTCGTACTCCGGACGATTATGGACATGTAATTTGATATTTCACTTCAATACAAAAAAATCTGTATGATATCATCTACACTGTACATCTGTTTCATTTGCAACATCATTTGCAAAGATAGGGCCAAAAGCTAAAGGTACATGATAAATGTGTCAGACACTTATAAAGTCGTACAACAATCAAGTACCTCAAAATCGTCGGATATTATAACAAAATGTTCTGTCTTCTATAGCTCTACGGAATAATGTAGACATGGCTATAATTTCTCATAAATCTCCATCAATAGACATGTATTTATATACCGGAAACCAATGTCTGACTGTAATACATAACCGGATAAAGTGCTACTGTCGTATGACGATCTAATTTATCATTTCCAAATTGTTTGTACGGTATGGCATTGTGTTGAAGATACGGGACACTCGGTTTTTATCGTAGGTGTGTATTGTTTAATACATTGTTTAATTCAACTGCAGATTTCACCACAGAACATATGTTGTTAGTTGAGATTTAGGGCTAATATTGTGTATATATTACATGTAGATGTTCATGTATTTTTGATATTGTTGAATAGTGATTAAAAAATTGATACTAATTGATGCTATATATCTATTTATTCAACGGGTTTTACGTCCTCTGAGCGGACGAGAATATTATCTGTACCTGACGTCATCTTATGTCACGCAACATTGCGCATAACGTATTCTCGGTTTGATTCTTTCCCATCCATTACGTCACTTTATTCTTGTTTTTATACATCAAAAACATCCACCCAATCAAACTTTTAATTAGATTCAACATTGTATGCATTGATGAATAATTGTATGTCGCCTCAAGTAGATGAAACTATTTTTTGAGAAATTGTAAGTTCAAGGACTTTTGTGAATCCTTGGTCATTTGACTATAAGTACATGCTTCATTCAACATCACTCATTAGTCATTACCGTCACTGAACTCACCGTCTAACAAAGCATAAGAGTATTTATATTATGAAACGCAGACTTCTTTATAAACCTATATCCATTGGATGAAATAAGGCTTATAGATCACAAGTACTGTATAAATAGAAAAACAAATAAGGTCACATATGACTGATCCGATTGATCTTCAAATGAAGTGCAATATGCACGATTATTTAGAACGAGGGTAAAGCAAGCAAGAAGTGGTCATACGAGGCCGTGACTGTATGGACAATGTTCAGGTAAGCTCGGGACCTGCCATTCACATTTGTAGACATCTTCAAGTGATCCTCACTTGTGTGTATATGTCCTTGCTGTCAGTGACTTTCTTATAGATCTTGACAATTTTATCTTATAACTCTGCGTCAGTCATTTCGTGGCTGTATTACAGTACACAAAAGCAGAATAATGTTACCAAATATAGATTGTATGGATAGGCATTTATTAACAATTAGTGTTAAACATGTATTCAGTTTTATTGACAAACGAACAAGCTTTATTTCATATTAATGCCATAATGACATGGCAGTGTGTCATGATTATTTCCAACATTATATATCTATATACCCTGTAGTGATATCTATCTTCGCGAGATGACTTCTAACACAATTTTCACGAAGTGTATTTCTACAGATGACTGTTATTATCTTTTGTATCTTTAAGTCATATTTCAGGTGTTTAACATATGGTAAGTTATCTGATTACAGTCTACCACTAATAATCTATATAACATAAGTGGGTTTACTCTGCATTCTGCCTTCCACCGAGCGAGTCAATGTCCCCATATACGGCAGATGAAGGGAAGTAACCTAAGTGCATCGATTGATTAACATAACTCGCCAAGTCATCGCAGGTAAATCGGGACACCGAGACCCCTAATGATCCGCGGAGAATCGATCACTGCATATTTCGTGACAAAGTCACGTAACACAAGTCATCAGGATCCGCGGTGACAATGGTTTCAATGTCCCTGACAGGGATTTATCACCGCAATCTGTCGTCCAAAACAATTCTTTGTCACTAAATGAAAGTGGCTGAAGTGCTATGACGAGTATTGTATTTCTATGTTTTGTGTATAAACACTTTCAGTATTAAATTGGTTTTTCAAAATGTAAAAGTGAAATGAAATAATGGTTCTGATATACGTCTCTGCATTGGTGACGATGGACAGACTATTATTGCTATCGATGTCTAAACATATGTGGATTTTGCATTATCAACCAAGGAAAATAATGACATCTGCCTTTGTATCCAAGAATAACATTACGACATGCATTTATCATCTATATACTCAGTTCCATACATTCATCTAGACTGTGTTCTGTTATAAAGTTTATACAGGAAATTAAAAGCAAACTAATCTGAAAAGCAATTTTCTACAAGGACTGATTTGTAGGTTTTGAGCCTTGTATTGACGAAGTTAAGCATTGATGTCCTTTTTTAGCTCTACTATTTC